CCTAGCACCCCCCAACCACTAGTGCCAGGGCAGGCTGATCCAGGCTGACCCTGACCCTGCCCTTCCGCCTCAGACAGACGGACCCTTCCCTTTTCTGGCGGGACCCTCCACCAGCACAGGGGGCCCCCCGCCCGCAGTCACCGCTCCTGCCCCACGCTGGGCAAGGGATAGCCCCATCCCCCACCCCCAGTGAGGCTACGGTGAGGGCAGCAGCAGGGGAGGAGGTGAACACGTGATGGCACCCACCACAGGGGAAGCGAGGGGGTTTCTGGACCTGAGAGGGGTCCTAGGAGCATGTGCAGTGACAGTGGTGTGAGGTGAGTGTGCTGCAGGGGGGCAGAGGGGGCCCCTCCCCCGGAACTTGCTGCTGCCGGCGGGGAGAGGGCTGGGGGGGAGTCCTCCTCTCTGGCTCCAACCGGGGGCAGCCTGCCTGCACCCCAAAGTCCTCATCCCCGGCTGACAGCTCTCAACCTCCCCATGTAATAACTTTGTGACTCCCTGAGGGGTCCCAACCCCCCAGTTTGAGAAGCCCTGCTCTAGGGGGCTGTTACAAGGTAGGTAATGTCCACACTGCACAGTTAACCCAGGTGATTGGCATACAGGGTTGAGCTGGCACCTGGATTAGCCTAGTCCGGGTGTAAGCATCCCCACAAAAAAGCCCTACTTGAATGACTGTGTCTGCATTGGCCCAGGTGTGTCTGGGAGCATAATGCCTGGTTGTCTGTGCTGAGATGGTCTAGGACTTTTCCCCACTCAGTTGTGTCAATTGGGGGAGAATTTGTCTGTCCCTCGGGGGAACTGTGGGAAGGCCTTGGAGGACTATCAGCAGTCCGGTGATTTTTGCTTGTGTCCTCACTGCAAAGTGGGTGGGTTCCGGCTCAAGTGAGAGCAGACCCAAGCCTCTAACCTATACCCCAGCTGGGTCCGCTAGCCCAGCCTTAAAGCACCACCAAACCCAAGTCAGAGGGTTTTTCTGTAGGGGGACGAAGGCTAACCCCCAGGTAAGAGCCTGGGTTCTGCGCAGTGTAGACATATCCTTGGGACAGTTAAAAGCCATTCTAAGGCTGTTCTACTACATCGGGGACTGGAACAATGGAGGGCAATGGCCCCAGGTGCTGGAAGCTGAAAAGGGCTCCCTGGTGGTGCCTTCTAACCCACGCAGCTGTGCCAAGCACTTCCCGAGAGCAGCTGGGGACTCATCCCCAAACCCTGCGCCCTCCACTTTCCAGGGAGCGCTCAGCTTGGCCAAAGGACTCCACCCATCCCTAAATGCATGTAGCCTGGTTAAGTGAGAGCGGTGGAAAATGGATAAAGGGACAGGTAGGCTGAGTATTGGGAGACGTCTCCTGATGGTGAGAAGTACACAACGGTGGGATATTCTCCCCATGGGAAGCAGCGGAAGCCACGTCGCTAAAGATAAAAGAGGAAGGGACAAAAAAGGAGAGAATACACTGCAGGGAACAACCTTGTGGTGGGTCCAGGAAAGATGGGCTCGGTGACACAGTGGGTCTCTTCCACCTTTAACCTCTGTGACTTGACCAGCCACACAATCTTCCATGACATCAGCTGGAGAACGAATTGCATACTGCTATGCAGCAGTGTTGTATATCTCCATCTGGTGGAAGTAACAGGTTCACGCAAGACAGCGATAGCAATACTGTACTTATTCCTATCCAGGAGAAAGATATCCCAGGCTTCTGTGGGATCCCCATGCCAGGCAGCTAGATATGGTGGTTTGTCCACCACCGCAAATCTATTCTGGGAAAAGCCAGTCTGGTGCAAAGGGAAAAAAGAACCAACCTGCCTCCAAGTGTGGACCGTGCAGTTCTGGGAGGATCCTCTACTTCTACTACTACTAATGGGGTAGCTGGAGGCAGGGCAGAAACTTCCTGTACCGAGAGTGAAACCATTGTGGGGGGCCCACCTAGTTTGGTAGGATTTGTCTTCCCCCTCCGTCAGCCTCTTGCTTCCCATCACTTTTCTACGGGTGATTCCTTTGGGCTGCGTAGCCCCTTTGAAAATTCCTCCTGGACCGATTGACAGACAATCAGCTGGGGAGGACCCTTCCAGCTGAGACAGAACCTTAGGGGTGCACTTATTTATTTCAGCCACATACCCATGGGACCTTGTCCTTTAGCTTTGGTCTAAGGGGCCACACAGTACATAGACCCTTGGTAATAGTGTTTGTAGTGTGTCCACTCCTGTTTCGTACATCCGTTGTGTTTACTTGTGCCCTCCCATGGGGTATGTTTACCTGCTTCAACCTGGTAAATAACTCGGGTGGGAATTTGGACACTGGTGTCAAGAGTAGGATCAGACCCCTCGCTGGCAGTGCTGAGTGCCACAAATTCTTGTGCCCTACCGGTCACCATTTGTGATGACAATAGATCCTAAAGTAGGAGGGGTTTACCCTAAGAATGAACATAAGTCTCATGCTACGTCAGATATGGAAGGATATTTCTGTATATGAGGCAATTTATAGAGACAAAGAAGGGGGTTGATGGCCTCTGACATAGTTAAATTACCTTCCAGAACTGCCCCCGCCCCCGGTCACTATCAGTTTCAGTGGGAAGGACTTGCACCTTTATTCCACAGAGGAAAGTGGGGTAGAGGAGGGGTTCCGGCCTACCACAAGGGAGAATGAAAATGAAGGTGGTGTCTGGTCATTTGGACTGGCTGTACAAGACTCGAGTGCTGTGTTTGTTCTTGTCGTAATAACGACATATTAAAATGAGGAGACCAAAGCAAGAGGCTGTTTGATTCTTCTTCGTGATACACCCAGTTTGCTCAGTGATTAATTAGGAGGAACAAATGGAAGTGGGGGATGATGCATTTTGCTAATCATGCCTTCTAGCCAAGCAGACACAACCACTTTCTAGCTGCACTAACCGTGTGCCCTTCTCCATTAGCAGAGTGGAGCTTGGAGTTTTGTGATATTAACACACCCATTCCCTGGTGGGTTTTCTACCCCTGGAGATCCTGTCCCCAAGATAACTGGGTGTAAATTTCCAGTCTCAGTTTTGTTCCCTTTGACCATTTCCTGATACTCCTCAGATAAGCCTATTCACTCACCTGCAAAGGCAAATACAGTTTGCTAGTGTCACCTGTCGGCAAAAGAAGAAAACTGAAACGTTTTTTTTGCTCCAACCAAAATCCCAAGGAAAACAAGAGCAAATTGTTGTTATTCTGACCATTTGCTTTTATTTGTTCATTTCAGATATTTCCAAATAAGGGATTTTGTGTCTGTATGGCTTGACTCCCGCTGTGTTTTGGAAGAATATGTTAGCTTCAGAAAGAGTCACCATCATATGGAAAACACTGGGGAACTATGGGCATTCTGGGGACTCATGACTGGATCAAGAGTTAAACTCTAACTGGCTGTAGGCAGGGTGAACAGCTGATGTCCCTGCACCTAAAAGACCTGATGGAAAGGGCAAAATAGCTTATGGCATGGGGAGCTTGTAGCTCTCAGACTTGCTTGTTTATTTAGTGTCCGTATTTGTTTGAAGTATTTTTATTATTATTCCTATAACAGTCAGACCCTGAATCTGATGACCACACCAGTGGAAATCTGGAGTAAGGCCACTAGAATCAGTGGAGCTATCAGGGTGTAAATAAGATCAGAATTTGGCCCTGGGGCGCTTTTCATTTGCGGCTCTTCAACTGCTTTACAGTGGAGAATAAATACTCTCATCACCATGCTACAGATGAGGGAACCCAGACAGGAAGCACTCAGGTTTCAGAGTAAAGAACCCCTGGAGTTCCCGTTCACAATTTTGGTTGGTCAGTGGCTCTGAAAATTTGGGCCTAAGCAACTTGCCCAAGGTCACAGAGGGAGCCTGTGCCAGAACCAGTGGGCACAGTAGGGGGCATGACCCCATCACTTTTTACCTGCCCTAAGGGTGAGCAACGGGGCGGGAGGGGGAAGGGAACAGAGAGGAGCGAGCGGGGTCTTTGGGGAGAAGAGGTGGTGCTAGGGTGGGGGCCGGGGAAAAAGGGGCAGCGTCAGGGCAGGGTCTAGGGCCACAGTTCAGGCACCTGTGCCCCCCACTTTTAGAGCACTTCCAGCACTCCTGGCCAGAGCTGGCATTTGAACCCTGATTTCCCAAATCCCCCATCCAGTGCCTTAACCACAAGGCCATCCCTTCCTCTGAAGTCCAGGGCTGCTTTTTTTCTGTGGTAACAGTTGGGATTTGGGTCCTCGTCTCTCCAAAACACTGAACGTTGGAGGAGGATGTGGGAAGGCGGGTGGCTGGAGATGAGTCATTCTGGTTTGGGCCCAATCTCCAGTATATTGTGGCTCGTTTTCTATCATGTGTGCCAGTTGATCAACAACACACCGCGCCCTGCTGGGATATTAATGAGTCATTTCTCTATAGCAGAATGAAACTCATCACCAGGAATGGACATTTTTTTAATCAGACATTTTCAGGGGCATAAACATCAGTGAGTCCCGAGCTTTATTTCTTCAGCACGTTCACCAGGACATAGGGGGTTAAATAAAGGGGGAGGGATAGCTCAGTGGTTTGAGTATTGGCCTTCTAAACCCAGGGTTGTGAGTTTAATCCTTGAGGGGGTCATTTAGGGATCTGGGGCAAAAATCTGTCTGGGGATTGGTCCTGCTTTAGCAGGGGGTTGGACTAGATGACCTCCTGAGGTCCCTTCCAACCCTGATATTCTATGATTCTAACCTACCCTACATAGCATTGGTCAACGTGCCCCAGCCGCCAATAGTGGATTCAAAATGTGCACAGTCCAGCTGAGTGCCTAAGTCTCCAACCCCAAGGACATGAGAGAAAACCTTCTGGTTCCACTGAGCGACATGGAGTTCCACCCAGTGACCGAGGTGGGAAAGGTGGTAGACAAGCTTGGTGATGAGATCCAAGATGACACTTGATAGAAAAGACCCAGTGTTAATCCCGGTGGGATGCATTGCAAAGAGGAGGTGTCGTCTCTCCTTTGGTGGGTTCAGCGAGGAAACCCCCTCTCTGCCCAGCACATCACACTCCCGTCCTGACAAAGGTGACAACAAAGCCGGCAAAGATGATCATTGCCAATGCCGGGAAGCCGATTCTCATGTCACCCACCCCGTTGCACAAATCTTCCTGGCAGCAGAGAAAAGAAGATTGGGGCGTGGCAAGAGTTTTAATCATTGTAGAGAGTGGGCACGATGGGGAACATCTCTTCTCCAGGAGATAGTCAGGAGTGGAGCCATCTAAACAAGAAAAGGAAAAGGGGAGGGGGGTGAATCTACATTTAAAAGTTCCCAAATGACTCCTTAAAGACTGTATCCATCAGTGTTGACTTTATCCTAAATCCCACTGGGATCATAACGCCATGGAATCATCCATTTATCCCAGGGGATTTATCCATTTGTTTCTAGTTAAATAGCACCCTGAGACACCTCAGATTTGACAACTCCTTGGGAGGAGGAGAAGAAATTGCCCACAACTATCTGCTGAGATCTCTCAGAGGGAAAAGAATAAAGCCGCTGAGGAGGAACCCTTTCCACTCCTGTCAGGGTCCGCCAGTGAGCCCAACACTTTGTGATAAATGGTACCGGCTGATACCTGATCTTCATCCATCACCAGGAGAACATCATTGACCAATGCAGTCTCTGTGCCATAACGAGGTCTAAACCCAGAGTGAGAAGGGCCCAGGAGATGTAAGGCATCTGGAGGTGTCTTACCCCAACCTTTTCCACAGACTTACCCAAGAAGGGAGGATGTCAATATGTTGAGTAATGGCCCCTTGAGCAAAGGCTGCTCTAATGCTTCCTTCGAAGCACTAGGAAGCCTGTCCTCACTGAGAGAAACATTGACAATGTCTACAACCGAGGACCCAGTACTTCTCTGCTGGCCTTCACCAGCCCGGAAAGACATGGATCCAGAGCACAGGTTGTGGGACGAAGTTCTCTCACGCCTCCAATATCTCACGGAACATCAACAGATCTCTAACAGAGACAATGAGGTCCTTGTTCCCCCAGGATCTTGCTCTGCCATCAGTTCGTCCCTATTCTGATCAGTTTTACCCTCAAAATAACAAGAAATTTCCTCAAAACGGCAAGCCTGGCCCCCAGTGGAAAGGAGAGCAGCCTCGTGGCTGGTCTAACTTACACTCTATTTTCCATTGGTTCTGGGAAGTAGAAAAATAGCCGTAGTGCAGGGCACTCTGGGCATGACCCCCCCCCCATGTCCAACCCTGGGGAATAGGAGCAGGACAGCATAGGACCCTTATACCAGTTGTACACCAGCTGGGGCACCAAGCACATGGGGTATTCTCAATGGGACCAATTCTGCCCACTTACTTGTCTCCCTGCCCTTAATCAGCTACTCACTAAGCAAGGCTCTGATCTTGCCATTGGACCATGGGCTTAGGGATCTGCCTGTGCTGATCCACTCCAGAATATGGCCCTAAGCACTGGTAATGCTGGGACTTACTTCTAATAAACGTCGTGCAGTAACGATCAGCTGTTGAGCAATTGACGGGATTCGTGCAGGTGTTCGCCGTTGTGGTGTTGCACACGTGGCAATGCAGTGAGTAAGCTGTGAAAAGAAGATAACACGGCATATCCGACAGCTATCGAAACAGTTTCTTTTATTTGATTGGCTGGGAAATCAGCCTTATTCTCCCAGTGAAATGTCATGAATACTTGCTGGGTGTCAGCCAGAATTGTGCAACAGGCAGCAGAATGTCACCGCTGAGGATCAGACCCACGACTATCCAGACACAACACGTTGGTGGGCCAGATCCTCAGCAGCTGTAAATCGGTGTATGTTCATCCAGGGAGCCAAACCGATTTAAACCCAAGAACTTAAGTGAGACATGGGTGGTGCTGGCCCTCTGCACAGGGATGAGTTTCACCCATGGAAAACGAAGGGAAACTGGTAACGTTACTGAGATGTGCAGAAAAGAAGGAAAGCAAAACTAATTAGAGAAGCAAATAGGAATAATAACTGGCAAAAGGCAGAAAACGGGGGAGAGTTCTGAAAAGAGCTACAAGAATTGGAGGTCTGAAAACCCTGCCTTTGTAGTGAGACACTTAAGACGGATGATTGATTTAGTTTATTCAAGAGAACGCTAACAGGGGCTTGATCAGAGGCTCTGATCCTACATGGGAAAGAGATTTCCGAGAGGAGACAGTTCTTTAAACTGACAGAAAAAGGATAAAGAGATCCAATGGATGGAAACTGAATCTAGACTAGAAATTGACTAGAAATAAGGCACTATTTTTTAGCAGGGAGGGTAATCAGCCATTGGAACAGATTTCCTAGGGACATGGTGGATTCTCCATCACTTGCAGTCTTTAAATCAAGGCTAGACCTCTTTCTAAAGATCTGCTCTAGCTCAAACAGAAGTGATGAGCGTGATGCAGAAATTGCTGGGGATAATGATTCTGATCACCTTTGTAAAGCGCTTTGTGCGCTACTGATGAACAGTGCTATATAAGAGGCAGGCAGTGGTGTAATTATTATTTCTGGGTCCAAGTTCTTCATCCTGTATTATACAAAAAGTCAGATCAGATTATCGTAATGGTCCTTTTTGGCCTTAAAATCCACAAACACCTTTCTTTCCCGCTGATTTTTCACATACTTTAATGGGCAAGGAAGAAAAGAAACCAGTGGGGTCTTTACAAAGAAGATCAGCATTTATAGCTGGGGATAAAGGTGGAGTGACCACAGACTGCACAAAGAACAGCAAGCGCTGCAGAAATCATTTATCTCAGGACAGAAGAGGAGCTGGCAGAACGTGCAAATAATGAGAAACGATCCCGTTCCTTTCTCTCCCCATCCTAGCTTCTGTAAACTCTTCCTTTGGGGAAGGAAGTCCACTGAAGCCAATGGGGAGTCTTTCCGCTGACTTCACTGGGCTTTGGCTCAAGCCCATAATTGTAAGTGTACAGGAGCTCAGCGATGGAAAGCATTATTATCAATGGAAGCCTCACCTCTCTCTGCCCACAGGACCGCGGCCAGCAAAATGATTAGATAAGCCTTCATCTCCTTGGGATCCTCTCAGCTTGCAGAGAAAAGGACGGCTTCTCTGGTAGGGACGATGGATTGCCTTGGCAAACGAGGACAGCGGTTTTAAAGGCTTGGTCTCGGGTAGGTGTGACAATAGGTGGCTCCAATAAGGTGTGGAGCATCCATATGTACCTACCTCATAAAGCGAGTCTTTTATTTACCTTTCCATTTACAATATTTGTCTTGCCTTATTCTCCTTTGTCGTAAGCAGAGAAAACAGGAGAGGGGATTTTACATCCTTTTTCAGGGCGTTTCCTTTTAGCGAGGGCTCCATTATAACTCTGAGATGTCTGCAATTCAGTATATTGATCTGTAAACCCCTTTCAGCTGTGGATCAATCCATGAACACCCCACCCCACCCAATTCAAACTTCTCTTCCCTCCCCAACCCAACTGCTGTGACCCCTTCCTTATCTAATGCTATCATCCTCAATCCAGTATCTGGATCGGTTTGCCTTCTTGTTCCCTCCTACTCTCTGTATGACAGAGAAGAGAATCCTGTCTTCTCCCCTCCTATTAGCATAGGGCTGTGAGATATGTGAGCTAAGTGTCTTGTGGGATAGGTGGTTATTGGCAGGCCCCTGAATATTTTCAGATGCACTTGGACAGTTCCAGGCGTTGTTAGGTTCACATCAGGGTCACCCCTTCTAATGCAGGCCAAGCCAGTAGTGACTAGGGCCCTTCACCATCTGAGTTCTGAGTTCTGTCCTACATGAAATGAGTTCGGCAGGGCTCAGTTCTGTTCCTAGAGCACAGGTGTCCACAACACAGAAACAGCTGCCAACCTTGACGCTTGCTGGCCTCCTTGTTAAGAGTCAGCAGGAGGCCAAAGACTGACTAAGGATTGTCCGTGGAGACCATCTCCACGCCACTGCTGCTCCCTCCAGGCCAGGGTTGGGGCAGTGTGGGAGAAGCTGGCACTGTGCGGCGTCTGGCGAAATAGAAATCTTCAGTGCAATCAATCAGGCAGCTTCCTCTCTCTGCAAAGAGCAAAAAGCATCTCTCCTTACACCCATCCTCCTTGTCTGTTAACCTTTCCCAAGGTTCTCCTGAATCCATTCGCTCACAGTCCATATCTTATTGCGCATTCTGCATGCCAGGTTTGTAGTGGGAAACACTGCCCACAAATATCGGTTTGGATATTTAAATGAGTTTGCTTTGACGCTATTATGTTTTCCTTTTCCAAGAGCCAACACAGCTCTGACAGTCTGGATTGACTTTTGTTTCCAATTTACAAAAATAGACAAAGCAAAAACAAAAGGAAATCTTCATATGAGAGAAAGAGAGAGAGAGCACTGTGTATGCAACTCCTTCTATAACAGCCATCCTGAACTGACAAACAGCACTGCCTCTAATGGGAAGGCAAGGAGATTCCATCCATTTGAAGGTGCTGTACATGTGAGACGTTATCTGATTAAAATATGACCATGTAGATCATTGTTGCTATCACTGTTATATAATTGCATTTGCAACAAATCTTATACATAGTGTGCCACGTAAGGTGTCAATGGAAAGGTTATGATTTGCTGAACACGATTATCCTATTTGTATCTGAATTTATGTATATTGACTATGTACCTGTATTTCAAATGTATTTGCTCCTTTGGTAGCACCCATGGGGTCATTTGCATCCTGTCTGGCTAGCACATTGTGAATGGAGTATTCAAGTTGATGGCTCATCAATGAACACAATGGACCATGGAAGAAGCCTATCTACACCTGATGGACTTTCCTGTGAGTGTTCTAACTAGAGTATGGGTAATGCCCTCTGCTATGACTCAGCAAAGTGTGCAAGGGCATGTGACTAAAATCATGTGACCCTAAACTCCATCTTGTTACCTGTATTTTCCACAAACTGGGCTGAGGGCTTTGTTTGGAGCAATGGGTTTCCCTCCACATGGCAGAAGCTATAGAAGACCCTGGAAACACCTCCATTTTGCCTCTTTCCTGCTCTAACCTCTGGACTATGGACTTACACTAATGGGAGCCCGGGCATTCTAACCAAGGGACTGAGGACCTTCCAAATTATTTGGAAGCAACTAGAGATTTAACAAGCCAGCAGTTTATGCCATCACTGCTACAAACCTAATCCAAGAACTTTGCAATTATTGTATGTATTTGATTCCTTTAACCAATTTTAACTCTCACCTTTCTTTCTTTCCTTCTTTCCTTCTTTCTTTCTTAAATAAACCTTTAGATATTAGATACTAAAGGATTGGCAACAGCGTGATTATTGGGTAAGAACTGAGATATATATTGACCTGGGTATGTGGCTGGTCCTTTGGGATCAGAAGAACCCTTTGGTTGATGAAATTGGTTTTCAATAACCACTCAACATTAAGTCTAGTGTCTGGGTGTTGAATCCAGGACGGGAATAATCTAAGGAGGCTGCATTTTTGACTTCTTGTTAGCCAGTGTGGTGAGACAGAAGTTTACTTTTGCTGCTGGTCAGATATATCTTATGGGAGAATAACCACCAGTACTGGGGTGTGTCTGCCCTATTTCTCAGCAGCTTGTTCTGAATTTGGTGTTCTCAGTTGTGACAACATGCAAAACAGAATCCCAACACCTCCCCTGTGTTTATGTGGCTATGTGCACCACAACCTGTGTTCATACCCTAGATATATTCAGGCAAAACAATATATTAGTAAAATGTTCATGAAAACAGTCAGTTTTAATGGCATATTGAAGAATGTTTGCTGACTATGAATTTAGAACTTGCAATCAGAATCATAGGACTGGAATGGACCACAAGAGGTCATCTAGTCCAGTCCTTCAAGGCAGGACCAAGTATTGTCTAGACCATCCATTGCAGGTGTTTGTCTAATCTACTCTTAAAAATCTCCAATGACGGAGATTCCACAACCTCCCTGGGCAATTTATTCCAGTGCTTAACCACCCTGACAGTTAGGAAGTTTTTCCTGATGTCCAACCTAAACCTCCCTTGCTGCAATTTAAGCCCATTGCTTCTTTTCCTATCCTCAGAGGTTAAGAAGAACAATTTTTCTCCCTCCTCCTTGTAACAAACTTCTCCGTACTTGAAAACTGTTGTCATGCCCCCTCTCAGTCTTCTCTTCTCCAGACTAAACAAACCCAATGTATAGCTCATGTTTTCTAGACCTTTAATCATTTTTGTTGCTCTTCTCTGGATTTTCTCCAGTTTGTCCACATCCTTCCTGAAATGTGGCACCCAGAACTGGACACAATACTCCAGTTGAGGTTGTATCAGCGCAGAGCACAGCAGAAGAATTACTTCTCGTGTACAGCTAATACATCCCGGAACGATTTTTGCTTTTTTTGCAACAGTGTTACACTGTTGGCTCATATTTAGCTTATGATCCACTATGACCCCAGATCATTTCCCCAGTACTTCTACCTAGGCAGTCATTTCCCATTTTCATGTGTGCAACTGTTGTTCCTTCATAAGTGGAGTACTTTGCATTTGTCCTTATTGAATTTCATCCTATTTACTTCAGACCATTTCTCCAGTTTGTCCAGATCATTTTGAATTTTAATCCTAGAATTTGGAACCCCTCCCAGCTTGGTATCGTCTGCAAACTTTATAAGTGTACTCTCTATGCCATTGATGAAGATATTGAACAGAACCGGACCAGAACTGATCCCTGCGGAAGTCGTCTAACATGATTTGTTCTTGACAAATCCATGCTGACTGTTACTTATCACCTTATTATCTTCTAGGTGTTTGCAAATTGATTGCTTAATTATTTGCTCCATTATCTTTCTGGGTACTGAAGTTAATCCGACTCAATCCTGAGTTTCTGCATCAGAACCCTGATTCTAAGAGTTATGCCCATCCAATCAGAAAACAGAATTATACCCTGTGACCCCATGTGCTGAGTCACACCTGCTTGAATTCTGATTCTCAGACTGAACTACTTGCGATCGAGTTACAGATGCAGTGTTGTTTGCAGAAATCTTTTGGGGATGGAATTCACCCCTCTGGTTAGGGACCAGCATACGGACAAGGCAACATGTACATCCCACTAAAGCTCTCATTTTAGACAAAACTTTTCTTATTGGTGATGAAGTATAGAAGGAAGGAATTCAGTTTGACTCCTCTGTGTATCTAGCCAGATATTTACATGGCCCTCATCTCCATAGTATCTGAATGCCTTTGATTCCCGGCTGTGTTTGCAGGGCCCACAGTAAGAAAAAACATGGAATCCTTGTGAACTAGGTAAACTTGATCTGGGGTCATTGAAAGCCTACGTGGGACTTGGCAGGCCTAAGTGGGACATTAGTGGCACCTATGCCTTTTGCCATTCGGGCGAATGTCACCCTGTCAGTATGTGGGAATGACCAATATGTTTGAGAAAATCACTATTTTCTTTTAATGCACAATTTGTGAGCAGGGACGAAGGCAAAATTCTTCAAGGAAATGTTCTTATCGTAAATTACTCATCCAAATCCAGTTGACAATAAAACTTGTTTGAAACCAGAAACAATTTGTTTCCTCTTCGGACACTCCCCATCAAAGATGTTTAATCTAAACTCTTAGAGATTAGAATCTCTTATAGACATTCCTGCAGTTGCTGGGCAGTAAAACAGCACATAGCTGGAAAGGTGTCAGGCTAGTTCAGTTTATTGCAGGATGTTGCCCAACACCCCATTTAACAGCCTTTTAAAGATCAGTGCGTATAAGAGTCAGGGACTAGTAATAAGTTATGATCCTTTTTTAACCTACCCCACATATGCTCAAGATATGGCTAGCGGGTTAGATCCAACCTGCATGATATATTTATGGCCCCAAGCACTGGTAATGCTGGGTATGAGGCCTGAGGCCTGAACTAGAGTAATAGTCAAGACATTGTTAAGCAAAGCTGGGCTGTTCACATGGAGTGGCCCAAAAACAGTTAACTGCAGCAAAAAAGGGCACTCCTGCTATCCATTCGGCATGCAGACAAAAGCAACAGACACTGGGGGAACAAATTAAGGTTTTACAAGAGCAGGTAACTA